ACATATACACACATATATTATATATAACCATAATATTTTAAAAAAGCAAATACAAAAAGAAAGAGGCAGAAAAAAAATGTTTTTGTTACTGTTACTATTAGTAAGAAAATGTGCCAATCCATTGAATGTATTACTGCTGTCTATAACAAAGTCACATAGTTACAACATTACAATAGTACATATAAAAATATACAAGGGTAAACCTTACCTTATCAAGATGATTGTGAGGTGTGCAGGAGATAAATTTGTCCTGCAAGCTGTAAAAACATAAGTCAAAGGATCAACAGTAAGTAAACACAAATGCTTCTTAGTAACTTGTGTTACTACAGCACACGGCAAACCTACACCACCACTCACAGAAAATACTTGGCTTTGTTTTATTCTCTGAGCTTGTTTTGTAAATATTTTGGAAATCATATTACTTTTATTTAAAGTGTTTGTAAAGCCATTTTTTTTTAGTTTTGGACAGAGTATGGAAGGCTTATACTCTGTCAATTTTGTTCCCTGTTCCATTGGGGAGATTTCCCTTCACTGGAATGAGTCCCCATATTGAAAGATTTCCTCTTTATTCACATTCTGGGGAGAAATCAAAACGCTGTATTTTCGTACATTTTTCAATGACAGAGGTTAGGAGAACTTTATTGAGGACACCATGATTACTATTACTATGATAATAAAGAGTAGATGCATAGTCCTATACAACCGGCCCTTTGAGGGTAACCATACTGCTGATGCGGCCCCCGATGAATTTGAGTTTGCCACCCCTGTTCTAACCCCTCACGACCCTATGGCTTTTTGATACATAGCAAATGTAATATCGGGGTATTAGGATTTAGTAAAACAAAAGTGGCAGTGTACAAGCTCTGATGTTTATTGGCATTTTTAAGGCTTGTGCGAACCCTAACTGAATGACATATAGTTTGGGTATTGACCTGGAATAAGCATACCCATAAGAACATAGTTGCAGAAGCTGCATAGTTAAATCACAATAATTGTAGACAATCACACTATGTGATTTGGGATTCCTGCCACAGGAATTCTAAATCTCCCGTTTAAATGCAGCCGTGGTCACCCATCCAAATGAATGACCGGGTGACATCGACTGCATCTGGAAACAGCAGCCCGCATGTAATCGTATGTGATACGACTACATGCGGTTTGGAATAGATCACTGTTCCTGGATGCACGATAGATAAATGTACATCTGTTACTACATAACTCCTCCATTCCTCCATTCAGAGTGAATGGAGGATTATCTAAGGTACTTATGGTTTGTAAAAAATGCTAGGCAATATCAGTATGACAATTATTTAATAATTTAGACATTTGAGCATGGCAAGACTTTATGAAAGAGATTCCATGGCTGTACATACAAAACACATAGTCGCTTCAGCAAAATATCCAAATTAAATAGCTAAACAGACAATATAACCTTCCCGGTGGGATGTGCAGTTCAATATTGTCTACCCGATTACATTCACGTGAATTGCAGAATACTCTCCGCTCCAGGGGGCTGGCAGGGACTTCAAAACAAAACATCTGCAAAGTCTAAGCAGATCAGTCAGGGGTAAATTGGTAACAGTGAACATAAAAGAAGGGAGGGAAAGTGTATGTGTAGACAAGCTGCTGGAGTGTATGAGGCTCTGCAGGAAATGTAGCAGCAGAGGTGTCAAGTTTAATCCCTCGCAGCTGCTTCATCTTGAAGGGATTGCTTTAGCTATTTAGTACCTGCAGTTAGGGCAAATCCCTGCTAAAGAGGGAATCAAAGCACCATTATTAAATAGATGATTAGCTGGGTTAGAATCAACACTACATAAATGCTTCAGCATGTACACATTAATCAACTGAATAGGACACCATTCCTAATCTTTACACAGGAGAGCAAAACATAAACAGAATGAAAAGCACATCATAGATTTTATCACATGGACGTCAGCCCAACAAAAACAGATATTTCAATTGTGGAAGGAAGCAAATGGGAAAATCACTTGCCGGCTTCTCACAGATCTCTGTTCCTGGGAACCTAGGTGAACCCACCTTTTGAGGCCATACAAAGCCAACATCACTCAATGGTTTACATATTAGAGATAATGCCTCAGAAAGTGTGATACTCTCTCTTTAGATTTCACAGTGGCCTTTGTGGAGGACATCACCACGAGTGCTGATGTTCCTGCTAGAGCTCCTGAGAGATCTAAGACACCAGAGGCCGTATCAAACTAGTAAATTACACCTACAGCTAACATTTCAGGAAAGGGAACGTGAAAAGAATGCAGGCCACTGACACTGCTGACCTTTCTTTTTAACAATGCTAGCTGCCTGGCTCTCATGCTGATCCAATAGCTTTCATACTCTCCCAGACCAAATATGTAAATCAGGACACTGCCCAACACAGTCCTACTACAAAGACATGGCAAAAATCCTTGCCTTGTATAGGGCCTATTCACTTTAATGCACTTTGGGAATCATTTTTTTGTAGCATATTACAATGCAATGCACTGCAATGCATACAATTTATATAGAGGTTAGAACCCCCCCTCCACCTTCATAGTGCATGGCAGTGCACACATGTTATGTGCTATGTATTGCCGTGTGGTGTGAACCAGACCTAAAGGTGTTCATACATGTATAATTGCCTGATGTTACCATCTAGGCTAAACATTATGGATGGAGGAATCTTCCCTCTCAGCTATTGTATTCTGGCAGCTGGCGCAAGTGGATTTCTGAATGCGGCTAATTGGCTGCAGTCACTGTTCATCTTACAAGTTTCCGCTTCGCTCCTTTGCTTTTCACAGGAATTCTAACAGTATATGGCTAGCTTTAAAAAGTACCGACTCCAGAGACAACCAGGCAGCTAACCTTTTTTCTAAAAGGAGGACAGCAACTACACCTCTCATGTCACATGTCCTTTTAGTTTACAAGAATTAGGTTGAACAGTTGAGTGAGTAAGTAAAACAGTAAGGGGAATATTACAATTCAAATAAGTCCTAAATTAAATACTGTGTAATTGGCTGGCCATTACCAAAGATGGTCTGATGGGGGTGGGTGTGGGTTCTACAACCATTTCAGTCATGTCCTCATTTAACATTTAAGCAGGGAACCCAGATAAAGTTTAATTGCAATCTCTTTCAGAGTCAGTGAGCCTACCCCCCTTTCCCTTTCTCTGCTCCAAAAAGTACCCACAGATTCAGATAGAAAATGTCAGGATCGAGCAACAACTATGTCTAGGAGTAGCTTGTGACTGTAGACTGCAGACATGCCTAGCCAAGTAATTATATGGGAGAAAAGGTCACTTAAGCTGGCCATACACCTGTAGGATGATCTGCAGATTTTCTATGGTCAGATGGAAAAAGTGCCACGGATTCCTCCATCTACACTAAACTGTGTGGATGGAGGAATCCACCTGGGCCAAGCTTGAGTATCTTGCTAGTCGGCCCTGCTGGTTCTCAAAATACCTGAACAATGCCTGCATCCAATCAGATTGTTCAGGTATTTTGAGAGCCAGTGGGGCCGACTAGCAAGATACTGAAGCTTGGCCCAGTGGGAGATTCCTCCATCCAAACAGTTTAGCGTACATGGAGGAATTTGTTGCACTTTTTCCATCTGACCATAGAAAAGCTGCAGATCATCTATAGGTGTATGGCCAGCTTTAAACAGATTGGACTTTCTCATCTGATTTTTAATGATCCCTACATAAAAGGCTATCATTAGGGGTATTTACACATTGTACAGACATGTCTTTTCAGGTTGTACAAGTGCTCAAACTATGTACTAAATATCATGTTAAGCAGTCAGATTCTGTCATCATGTCCATGTCCACACTGGACCTTTAGAAATCACTGTGAAGCCCCTGACACCCAGGCTGGGGAAGACATAGGCTAAAAGGCCGTGGACGTGCTTGGTGAGGGCTCTGCATTAACTGCTGATAAAACATACTTGGACTTATGGTTTCAGTAGCAGCTCTACATCTGCAGGATGCTCACCACATGTTGGAAATTACAACTGGAAATGGAAACCCACTTACAAAAATGTGCCAAATTACTTTTTTACCTGGACAATATCTAACAATGTAAGATGCAAAGTGATGCAAAGCTTTCCAGATTTTACTTGAACAACTGAAAACAAACACTGCTTTATAAAGGAAGACAGACAGTACCTTTTTCCAGACAGACTGTCAAATGAATGCAAATCCAGGATCTCCGATAAATCCACTCTACAACACATAGAAGTATGCCATCAGAAATGGGAATTATCTACAGTTACAACATAAGAAACAACTCCCATGAAAAGTGCTTCTATCTCTTACCAGTATACTCCAATTTCTAATACACCAACTACATTTTTACAACTGACACTCCTAATGTGTTATCATTAATAGAATACTATATGTTAATCTGTAAGGTGGTCTCTATGTTAAATTTGCAGTTCAAGTACTGAATCAAATTTGGCTTTAAATGTTCTACTGTTTAGGCAACATAGCGCTACAAGCATGCAACATATATTTCAAAGTAACAAACTGACATGCATTAAGAACTATCAGATGCTGTATTGTACTTAAGACACGTAAAGTAATAAACACAGTGGCAAAAACAAACACATAGGGTTTTATATGCCTTGAGGGTGTTTCTAGCTGCACTGTGATAACTTAAAAACATTAGAAAATACAGTCTGTGAACAGCATTTAACCATATATA